CGTTCATCAAATGGACGTTAAAACAGCTTTCCTAAACGGAGAGTTGGAGGAGGAGATCTATATGGATCAGCCAGATGGGTTTGTGGCAAATGGTCAAGAAGACAAAGTGTGTAAATTATTAAAGTCATTATACGGCCTAAAACAAGCTCCTAAGCAATGGCATGAGAAGTTCGATAGAACTTTAACATCTGCTGGCTTTGTTGTGAATGAAACTGACAAATGTGTGTACTATCGGTATGGTGGGGGTGAAGAAGTTATTTTGTGCTTATATGTTGATGACATACTGATCTTTGGATCCAGCCTCAAAGTGATCGAAGATGTGAAGAGATTTTTAACTAATAATTTTGAGATGAAAGATTTAGGAGAGGTTGATGTTATTCTTAATATCAGGCTTCTGAGAGAAGGTGATGGTGGGGTAACTCTGTTACAATCTCACTATGGTGGGGTAACTCTGTTACCTGGCGCGCTAACTGTCGATGTTTTCGGACCCCCGATGAGTAAATTTGTATTTGCGTGTCTAGCTCGGATGGTGTGCTCGGAGAACATAAGGGTTTATACTGATTCGGGCGGAACGTCCCTACGTCCAGTTCGCTGCTACTCGTGTTATCGAGACTTGGTTTGCAGTAGGGGTTACAAACAGACGAGAGAGGAAGAGGATCCCAAGTCTCTAGTGGAAGGGGTGCTGAGAGCTCGCTTGCCGCTCAGCCGTATGCTCGTGTCGTGCTCTTGTGTTCTGATCCCCCAGCGTGGGGTGCCCTGCTTCCCCTTTTATAGGCGAAGGGAAAGCGCGGGTTACAGAGGAGGAAAATGAGAAGAACGAGAGAGAGAAGAATGCTTCCAGGGTTGCCGGCTCCTTCTCCTTCATGTGGGTCCCACTAATCCTATAGATGTCAACAGGGACGGCTCTATATCGCGGCCTTGTTTGTCAGTGGAGCCATGCGCAGGTGTCATCTGTCGGTCATAGCGTTCCACTCCATCCCAGCGGACGTCGTGGTGAACTGACGCGTCTGTCAACGTCCGTACGAGAATTAGTCAAAACATCACCGGCACGTCTGACACTTTTCTTGATGTGAATCCCTAGGTATGGCCCGTCATGACCACGGGTTACATCGAGGCATGCCAGCCTCTTCCCTGGCGTCAGAGTTTTGATCCAGGCCCATACGCTTGGACCTGGAGTGGTTGGCGGCGGTATGGGTCCCCGTCGGATGAGACGGAACCCGCGTCCTCGAGGTCGGGCGAGACGGAGCCCGCGACCTTGGGCGAGACGGAGCCCGCACCCAAGGAGTCGGGCGAGACGGAACCCGCGTCCTTGGGGTCGGGCGAGACGGAGCCTGCACCCAAGTGATCGGGCGAGACGGAGCTCGTGGCCTCGAGGTCAGGCGAGACGGAGCCCGAGGTCGGGCGAGACGGAAACCGCGTCCTTGGATTCGGGCGAGACGGAGCCCGCACCCAAGGGGTTGGTCGAGACGGAGCCCGCACCCAAGGGGTCGGGCGAGATGGAAACCCGTGGCCTTGTGGTCAGGCGAGACGGAGCCCGCGGCCTTGGGGTCGGGCGAGACCTTTTAATACGTCTTGAGCCATTCGGGAAAATCAGCGTGGGCGCTAACTTCCTTGCTTTGGGTATCCTTAATATCGATACCCGACACACTTGGACTATAACATTATTTGGTGTTACTACATGGCATATATTTGTAACACATTTTATATGTTTCATTTATGTGTTACAATATAGTACACTTCTGTAGCATTTTGTTTGTAACATTAATTTTGTGTTGCTATAATTATTGTCAGCAACATATTTTTATAAAAAAGATGTTTTGTGTTACAATCAAAGTCTATAACACTATTTTGTATAACTATAAAATTTTACTGAAACACGTTGACGAATATGTTAAAAAAAAAGTGTTTCGTAGCAGTGAGCCCTGCTGGAGCGGAGGACCTCTCGCGTGCGTGCCGACGTCCTCGTCATCCACATGTGAGCAGTCCACTGATTCTCCTCGGATCTGGTAACTAGAGCAGCTGTATGCGTGAATGGATCAGATTCTTCAGAATTTGCTCCGGCGACCTACAGTACCAGCAGCCGTTTTCTGTAGTCAAAGCATCCTCGATGATTACCGGGTCCCGGCGCTCAGTGACCGCGGTTGGTTGCAGTTTATCAGGTCGATCCGTTGGGTTTCAGCTCGTAATAAGAAAAAGGGTCGGTAAAAAAAATTATGCATATGTGACGCAGAGAATCTCCTGTGAAGCACGTGATGGGCCAGCGAAACATGATCAAACGGTAACTAGCTGGTGCTGCACGTGAGATTTTATGCATCACGTATGCAAAGAACTTTTTTTCTCTCAAGGAAAGACATATCCTAGTTGTGAGAAAAAAACATTTACTAACTTATATAAAATGAGGATAGGTATATTTTTATTTGGAATCTAAATAACGGGCTTGTTGTCTATTAGATCATGTAGAAGCACTAGTCAATAAAAAATAAGCTTGAACTTATCAACCCGGCTTATCAGCCATAGAACAATGTTTTTCTCTCACAACAAATCAACTTCAGCCGGTTTATCAGCCGCAGAAACCGGCTGAAGCTGATTTATTGTTAAAGAAAAATATTGTTCTATGGCCGATATTAAGATTTCAGCTAGGGATATTATAGGTTTTACTGTCCTGAAATAGACATGACCCTATTTTTTCACAATCGTTTTTGGTTCTGGATGGAATAGCTGGTTTATGCTACTTCACAATTGTGTCTGTTTGGTTATTCTCACGTTATAGCCTAACTTGCACCGGATCATCTTAGCCAGTCTAGGTGCATATGACCATTTGTTTTCCATCTCACGTATAATGCTTTCGTTAGCTTCAACGTTTTTAACTACAAGCCTTTACCATCAAGGTCATGAAAAATAAGAGATTCCTAGTATTTCTCCTATGTTTAAAGAAAGCATCAATATTATTTGTGATATCAACTAAGTTTCAATAGACACATTATGATAGTACTTGGTATCTCGCTCGCTCTAAAAATTAGGTAAAACTTGAAATTGTTTCACTTTGAAAAGTTCAATATTGCCTAGGGCACGTTTGGTTGGGCTAATTAAAAGAAGGAATGAGAGTTTGTACATAGAAGTTTAAAAATCTTATATTTGTTTTTGCGGGAGTTGGAGTTCTCATGGGAAAGGGAATAAGAATTTAGAGGACCAACTCCTACTAACCAATTCCCTACCGTAGAGGATGGTAATTAAGTGAAAATTGTGCTCGTAAGATAAATACATCCTCACCATCCATCATGACTTATTTCTTACTCAAAACCCCCGCATCACTGCCAAACACGCTCAGAATGAAGGGTAGTAGATTGAAAAAAAGAGAATTGCTAGCGCCCGGACGTCCAATGGGATAGGATTCCATCGGACGTACCGAATGGCCCAGCAAAAACGCGCCGCACTCCCACCATATCACTGCAGTCCTTCCCCGTCTGCCTCGTCCTGCCACGCACGCGTACCCTGCCCCTTGTTCGTCTCACCGCACCCCACGCCCACTGCTCTTTCCCCCTCACCCCCTCCTCTCACTACACGTGGGTGGGACCCGAGAGCTGGGATGAGGACGAGCACGCCCCTTCCATGGACCCCTGGCTCGCCGCGGCGCTTCCCCCGGCGCCCAGGGCGTGCCCCCATGACTCTTTGAGCATACCTTTGAAACACAAAACACTTACAACATGAAACACTTGAATGCAACATATGTTTGAAGCAGATGAAACATTTGAAACATACACTTGCAACATGTGTGTGAAACATATACAACATCTAGATAAAACAGTTGCAACTTGCAACATGAAAATACTTATTGCAACATAAGACTGAAACGGTTGAAATATTTCAAACATACTCTTGCAACATATGTGTGAAACATATGCAGCATCCAAATATGCACACTTGCAACATACGTTTGAAAAAGCAGATGAAACATTGGAAACGAACGCTTACAATATACGTCTACAACCATTGCAACATGTGCAACATCGCGGTCTATTTTTGCAACATCTATATGAAACACTTACAACATACATCTGAAATAATTGAAACACACTCTTGCAACATGCGCTTTCAACATAACATCTCTGTGCTACTCGGTAGAATGGAGGCTCGTCGGTGTGTGGAGTCCGCCAGAGGCAGTGGCCCGGCGGTAGTGGTTGCACGTCGCAGAAGGGAGGCATCTGGCGAATGAGCGGTGGGGAGCCCGCAGCCGCGCGACTTGGAGAGAGCAGCAGTGCACCGCGCCTGGCAGGGCCGGTAGCCGAGAGTCGCGACTTTTAGGCGGCGCGTAGCGCTGCGTGCAAGGCAAGGTCGGCGAATGCCGCGCGGCGCCTCGGAGGGCTAGAGCGGTCGTGCGCCCGGAGGTGGTAGGCGAGCGGATAAGAGCGATAGAAAGAGAAACGAGTGGATGAGCAGTTTTTTTTATAGAAACGAAGGAACATGGGTTGTCGGGTTGACGTCATTGCTCAGCAACGGAGCGTCCAGACGGACAAACGCCTGGGGATTATACTCCTAGCAAACTCCTACACGAAAATGTTCCTTGGCTGCACGATTAACAAGCCGACCGAGTTGGGCTGGCATCGCCTTCGGTTTCCCTCAACAAGTAAAGCCCACTTGTTCACGATGTAACTTCTTGTTTAGGCCCATCCCCAATACTCACTGGATGCAGTACTGTGCTACATGCGGACCACTGCCCAGTTTGAATTTAAGAGCTTTGACTTTAAGTAGATGTACAGTACACCATATATAAATTATAATTGCATTCTTCCAAAGAAGATGGCTACTTTCAGAAAAAAAAAGAATTATTTATCGAAGGACATGAATAAATACACACAAGAAAAAAAATCAAACAAATCACAAATTTGATGGCAAACGACTGACACCCAAGCAATATACAGTCAGTCAGACGGATAAGCCCAGGAGGCCAGGATACATAAACACGGAGACCGGCCAACTTTTTACTACTAGCAGTCAATAATTTACTTCTTGGTGGCGAACTGCGCCTTGATCCTCTGCACGGTGGCGGCGTCGATCCTGAACGCCTTGGCGAGCACCTCGTCGGAGACAGCGGGGGTGGCACCGAACAGCGAGTCCGCGACGCGGATGAGCCCAGGGTTCTGGCTGCTGAGCCCGGCGATACCGACGGCGGGGCTGGCGCCGCAGTTGAACTCGAAGTGGACGAGGCCCTTGGGGAAGACGAAGACGTCGCCCCTGGACAGCACCTTGGCGAAGAGCGTGCCGTCGGTGGCGAGGAAGCCGACGTACATCTGCCCCTGGACGACGGTGAGCACCTCGGTGGCGCGCGGGTGCGTGTGCGGCGGGGTTGAGGCCGCCCGGGGCGATGTCGAGGCGCGCCATGGCGATGCCCAGCGAGTTGAGCCCCGGCAGCGCGCGCACGTCCACCAGCGTCACCTTGGAGCCGAACGCGTTGGTGGTGTCCCCCGCGTTCTGCAGGCCCGAGAAGGCGAAGTCGGACGCGGATACCTGCGCTGGGTCCTTGCACACCAGCCCGTTCACGAACACGGAGGAGGCGGTGTCGGCGACGCAGAAGTCCTGGAGGGGGCTCGGGTCGTACGCGAGAGCCAGAGGAGACGCCGCCATTGCTGCGATAAAGAGAGCGAGGAGGAACTTGCAAGACCTTCTTGCCATGGCTGCTGCTGCCTAGGAGTACAAACTGAACTTGTTGGCTTGAATGCGTCGTCAGACGATCGAGCCAAAGAAGAGAACGAAGGAGGTCGGGTAACAGTCGACGTTCGAGCTCCTTGAGACACAAGGTACTTGTGATTATTGAGTACCTAGAATGGCTTAATTAGCTTTGGATGGATGAAGAGAAGGGGCATGGATGAACATGAATATATAGCCGGCCGGTGCCCCAGGTTGGCGCTGCATGGTGCTGCACAGCGCGTGTTTGACTGCGTGCGTGGGGTATATAGGAGCACGTGCGGAAATAATCAATAATCTCTGCGCGCAGTGCATGCGACCGGGTCTGTCCTGACGCCTGTGAGGCGACTCTTGTGTCCCGCGATCCCTGGACTGGGCCGGCCGTGTAACCAACCAATCAGCTAGAGCGATTGGATAACAGTTCGGGCGACCGGCGCCCCGGCCGCCAACTGACGGGATCTTTGATGTGACAGACCGATCCAGTCCGTATGAATATATGAGCCCTTGTTTATTTCCGATATATACATAGAGTATTAAATATAGACTAAAAAATGACTAATTATACAGATTGCGGCTACTTTGCGAGTGAATCTTTTAAGCCTAATTAGTCCATGATTTGACAATAAAATGCTACAGTAACGCATGTGCTAATGACAGATCGATTAGGTTTAATACATTCGTCTTGCGGTTTACTGATGGACTCTGTAATTTGTTTTTTTATTAGTATCCGAACACCACATGCGATACCCTCATGTAACACCCGATATAACACCCAAAACTTTACGCCCTGAATTTGAGCGAGGCCTGATTATTAGTGCGCCGGGCAGGTTGTTGATGGGTTGTGCGCACTGGGATATGATAGCATTGCGCGACAACAAGTAGCGCGTGACGCAAAGCGGTGAGCGAGATGGATCTTCGATAATGGTCATCTAGGTGGTGCAGGCCGGCCGACAGCTAGCATTGTTCCGTCCAGTTCGCAGTTCTCAGACGCCTTCACTCGTCCGATTTAATTAGGGACGATGAAAACGGAACAAATGGGCGTGTATAATGTCTACTTCGTCCTCCTCCGTCGTCCCAAAAAGGACGTCCATAAAGGATTTGTGTTGAATTTTTTTCATGTTTAACTAGATTTATAGAAAATATTGGCAATATCTGTATTTTCGAATAAGTTTACATGAAAATATCTTGAGTGATTCATGTAATGATACTAATTTGTAAATATTTGACTTCTCGAGAAACGAGAATGACACTCTTTTTGGAACCAAGGGAGTATCTCATATTCTAATATGTTTTTTTAATTGAACTTCATATCGGAGCGGATGATACACGAATGCAGATACTAATAGGATTTTTTTGGACATAAAAAATGGTACGAGAAGATGAAGCAGAACCGGATCAGAGTGGATTTAATTAGTCGAGTAATATATGCATTCATAGAGAATTATAAGCTCATCAAAATTTGAATTACTAAAGGAACAATACCATCTAGTACATAATAAAAATCTTGCATTGGAGTCTATTTGTGGCTATCACACCGACACAATTAACACTTACCAGGATATACACACTCATAAATGATAAGTTATTAGACAACAAATTCTCAATTCAAAATTTAGCACATAAAGTAACCAAATCACAAAAATAAGATTTCTTTTTTAAGATCCAAAATAAGATTTATTTCTCAACGGACAAGTTTTGATTTATCATGATTTCTTTTGATTTTTAATCTAGAGGGAAAAATTATCGAGTATCCTATCTGAAATATCAGATATTATACTATTAAAATTTACGGATAATCCATATTCGAAGCGCTCGGCACCTCCCTAAGTTGCTCTTGGCCTTTGATGGGCCTGCCAGCGTGGATCAGCTACTGCCCCTTGTTGTCTACCAAAAAAACCTCGTAAGAGCGATCCGAGGGGTCTAAATTGCGTCTTTGAATCCTGTGGGTCGGCGCTGTGGCCTACGACGCCAAAGCAACACGTCTCGGCGCAAGATCCATGGCACTAAAGTCTGCCCACGTCAGCACCACATCGTCCTGCCATGACCTATGACACCGGGACATATTACCTCGGCGCCGACCACGGTGTCAAAGAGGCAATTTAGATGCCCAGGATATGAATATGAACATTTTTCGAAAGAAATAGTTAAAAATAAAAAATTCGGACAAGCTAATGTGCACGAACTAGACGGAGGGATGCATGAGTCGAGCCTACCGTCCTCAAGAACACAAGCCTCCTCAACGCCGTCTAGTGTGGCCAAATACGTGCCTGGTACTGGTAGTGTTGGTACTGACCAACTAGTTACTGTTGGTTTGTGCATCGAATTGGATAAATTACCAGATGTTTTTTTTTACGACGAAAGAAGAATTATATTATATTAAACTATAGCTGGGTACGTCAACACTATCATAAATTACAAGATGTTAGAGCACCTATATATATCTGAATAGTTGTTTCATGGTGGGTAGACGGTAGAGTGAGCTCAAGAATAGGACGGAGCGATGCTGTCTGCCCTCTGCCGGCCTGCACCAGCTCGGCCGTCCATCTAAAATTCTGAATAACAATCAAAATTCATCGAATCGATGGAGGCCACTCGCTTTGCGTCATGCATGCGGACATGCGGTACGTGTGTCGCAGACCCGCACATTGCTATCAAGCACGCACGACCCCATCAAAAACTAATCTGCCCGGTAACTCATATGGATCGGGTCGTCGGTCCGTCACATCAGGGATCCCGTCAGTTCGGGGGAAGCGAATTGTTAAACGCCTTCTCGTTATCCATCGCTCTAGACGACTGGCGGCCTGCCACCCTCGCAGGCACAGCACGGACTCAGTTGCATTGCATGAACTGCGCGCAGCTTTGATTATTTCGCGCGTCCAATCGCGTTCAGCAGGCCGAGAGCAGGTCCACCACACGTGTATATACGCAGTCAAACACACGCTGTGTTGTCCAGCACACCATGCAGCAACCTGCTGGGGGCACCGGCTATATATTCATGTTCACCATGCCTCTTCATCCATCCAAGCTAAGCTTGCCAGTCCGTCTAGTTACTCACACACCTGCCTCAAGAAGCCCGCACGTCGATTTTTCCATACTCGAGCTGCTTGGTTCTGAGGACACATTCAAGCCAGGACATAGAAGTTTGTATAGGCAGCAGCAATGGCAGGCAGGTCTTGCAAGTTCCTCCTCGCTCTCTTTATCGCAGCAATGGCGGCGTCTTCTCTGGCTCTCGCGTACGACCCGAGCCCCCTCCAGGACTTCTGCGTCGCCGACACCGCCTCCTCCGTGTTCGTGAACGGGCTGGTGTGCAAGGACCCAGCGCAGGTATCCGCGTCCGACTTCGCCTTCTCGGGCCTGCAGAACGCGGGGGACACCACCAACGCGTTCGGCTCCAAGGTGACGCTGGTGGACGTGCGCGCGCTGCCGGGGCTCAACTCGCTGGGCGTCTCCATGGCGCGCCTCGACATCGCCCCGGGCGGCCTCAACCCGCCGCACACGCACCCGCGCGCCACCGAGGTGCTCACCGTCGTCCAGGGGCAGATGTACGTCGGCTTCCTCGCCACCGATGGCACGCTCTTCGCCAAGGTGCTGTCCAGGGGCGACGTCTTCGTCTTCCCCAAGGGCCTCGTCCACTTCGAGTTCAACTGCGGCGCCAGCCCCGCCGTCGGTATCGCCGGGCTCAGCAGCCAGAACCCTGGGCTCATCCGCGTCGCGGACTCGCTGTTCGGTTCCACCCCCGCTGTCTCCGACAAGGTGCTCGCCAAGGCGTTCAGGATCGATGCCGCCACCGTGCAGAGGATCAAGGCGCAGTTCGCCACCAAGAAGTAAATTATTGACTGCTAGTAGTAAAAAAGTTGGCCGGTCTCCGTGTTTATCCTGGCCTACTCAGGCTGCATATTGCCTGGGTGTCAGTCATTTGTCATTAAATTCTGATTGTTTGATTTTTATTGTGTGTATTAATTCATCATGTCCTTATTGGATAAATAATTCTAATTTTTTTTCGAAAGTAGCGGAAAATTGCAACTATAACTTATATTATTAAAATAATTGTATCCCCTTTATCCATTTCTTTAACGGCAGCACTATTATTTTGATTATGTGTTTAGTCGAAGCTCTGGTATCCTATGTATTCAAGGCTTGTTTGGTTCATTACTAAGGCACTATATACAAGGGCTCTAAATGGTTCTATCCCTGCTACAGTGCATGGAGGAGCTGGCAGTAAAAAAAAATATTGGCTTTATCAGCCTCTAGTTCATTTTAAAATGAGAAAGAAAAACAACTCTTCCTTACGGTGCATGTAGGAGCTAAAGCCAGAGTTGCCTGCAACTCTACCTTTCTAGGGGCCTAAACTGCATCACAACTTACCGCAACTCTAGCGTCGTAGTTTAGACAAACGACGTTTGGTTGGTTACAAAAGATGCAGAGCTGCCAGAGCTCGCCGAAGCTCCACAATTAATTTTTTTTCGCCATAGTGCGCCAAGAGTTTGGTGGATAAATGGTTCACGTGACCTAGGGCATCGTAGCCCAGACACGACAATGTGTGATGACTTCCAAAAGAAACCCAAGTCTTTATTCGGCGTGTGTGCACCACGATGCATATCGGTGCTTGGGGACACATATTCATGCACGTTGGAGGCAATAGAGAGGTCACCACTGGAACCTGCGGATGTGCCTTGTCTTCCTCAGCTCCGATTCAGGTTAGGTGAGGGAGGGGTCGGACGGATGGTGGGCGAAACGCTCGGCTGCGAGGTTGTTGCCAGTTAGGGGCGGTGGACGACAACGGTGACATCGGGACAACAGGAATTAGAAGATTAGGGTTTGGTGGTGTGGGGTCTGGGAGATCCTCCAATAGCTTGCGTCCTTAGAAGGAGGGGTCTGGCAGCAGAGGTCGGCTGGACGGTGGGAGGGGTGTGTGTGTGTCAAGCAAGGCAGCGGAAAATTCAAAACACTTCCAGTTAAGAACATTGGAGAAATACTCAGAACCTCTT